TTGCTAGTTCCAGAAAACAGTAAGAAGCTCTAACTGCCCTTCATCTACATTTATAACTTTAATGTGACCTGTATTTATAAGGAGTGTTTTCATAGGATTGAGACCCTGGTCTGGTGGTATTCTTTAATGCTCACCATGGCTTTGTGGTTAATAGGGTGTAATGGTCTGGTATTGTCACAGTTTACTGTTTTGGTTTGTTCTGTAAATATCAGTTACGTTGCATCGTAACAGAGATACTGATTATCTGTAATTGTAACGCTGTTATTGCCAATATCAATTTAATTGGTTGTGATTGTTTTTCAATGAGTCATATTTAGTAAACAGCAGAGGCATTGCTAGACAAGTTTTTTTTTTTTTTTTTTACTTCTAGTTGTAAAGGGCAGAATGGCTTTCATTCGGTTTCATTCTGACATACACTCCATTCTTGGAATCACAGATAACACCAGGCATGAATGATTTTTGGTTGTCCAGTGTTGTTAAAAAGAATTTGGGAAGATACTGTGTTTGATTTCTAATAATAATAATGATAATACTTATTATTATTATCATTATTATTATTATTATTATTACTACTACTATTGTTACTGTTATAATTATTATACTATTATTAGTAGAACTTTATTTCAGTAATGGCAGTTGCTTTGCATGTTTTGTTCTACAGTTGAATACATTTTTTACCTTTGGCACTGGAAAACCAAAATGAATGAAGTCTTTAGTTCTCTTTGATTACCAAATATAAATGTCATGTACAATAAGTGATACTTTGCCTGACTTTGAGCAGATCACTAACACCCCCTTCTTGGCTCTCCCCAGCTGAAAGCCGTCCACGAACAGTTAGCTGCTCTTTCTCAGGCCCCGGTAAGTAAACCAAAGAAAAAGAAAGAGAAGAAAGAAAAAGACAAGAAAAAGGAGAACAAGCACAACAAATCCAAGCCAGAGGAGAAAGGCAAGCCAGGACAGCCACCGAAACCAGCCCAGCAGAAAAAGGGTCCTGCCAGAAAGGCTAACAGCACTGTTCCAGGCAACAGGTTTGCAGGTTTTTTTTCTTTTTTCCATTATTGATTTATTTTTTAAACCGTTCTGGATTTGTTTTATGGGTTGAGGCTAAAACAATCATTTGAGGTCTAAAGGGTTTCTGCTGTATGGCTGGAACCTTCACAGGCAACCAAAAAAGGGTGGCAGAGGGCCAGGCTACGAGTCTGACGAGGAGATGTCTCTGCCCATGACGTATGATGAGAAACGGCAACTGAGCCTCGACATCAACCGGCTGCCTGGAGAGAAGTTGGGCAGGGTGGTCCACATCATTCAGTCCAGAGAGCCTTCACTGCGGGATTCCAACCCTGACGAAATCGAAATCGATTTTGAGACGCTCAAACCTTCCACTTTGCGTGAGCTGGAGCGATATGTCAAGTCCTGTTTACAGAAGAAACAGAGGAAACCTCCACGTAAGTGCACACTCTTGGTCTACACGCACAGCTAAATGCCATATAGGTCATCCAAATATGGTAACTTTCTGACTTAATGTTTAGATTTTTTTTTCTTCTATTTAAAACTGATGGTGTTTATTAGCATCGCTAAATTTATTGCTAATCAACTTGCATTTTGTTTGTTTCACAAATGTTTCCCGTTTTTTGTTTTGGTATGCAAATACGGACTTGCTTCAGTTCTATAACCGCTGTGTCTCTCTGTTTGGTCTCAGAGAAAGGAGGCTCAGGCCCCTCTCGGCTCAGCGGCAGCAGCAGTTCCTCAGACTCGGGCAGCAGCAGCTCCAGTGGCTCCACTTCAGATAGCAGTGACTCCGACTGAACACTTTATTTACCTTTTTTTTTTTTTACACTTAAAAAAACAAAAAAAAACATTGTATGCAGTTAAGGTTGTTTCCCCTATGAGACTTTTTATATGAAAGAGAAAGAAAAGAGACAATAAAAATGCATCATGTCAGAACTTTTTTTTCTTTTGGAAATGTCATGAAGAAAATTACAGCTAAAAAAGCAAACTAATAAATTGCTTTTTATTTCCACTGACTTTGAAAGGGTTGTCCAAACCTAAAACTGCAAGGAGAGGAAGTCTTGAAGCATATTTTACAGTTCAAATTCTCTTCCCCGGCATCCTGGTAATGTTGTACATTACCATTGAAAACGTAAGCCATCCCATCTCAACAGAGAGAGCGGGAAAACGGAAAGCTCACACTCTTCTCTCCTGATTTGACCTCTTTACCAGTCTGTTGTATTTATTTTTTATTTTTTTATGTTGTTGTTTTTGCTATGGCCTCATATTTTCCCCATTGGGCGCTGTGCCATTATTGATTTATTGTTCCTTTCTTTTAATGTCCTCTCATAAACTGAAAAGTGTGTCTATGAAAATCATGCCTTTCCAAATAATGTCACAACACTTTTAGGTAGTCTGGGGAACAAATGGCTTTAATTAGGCATAACAAACTCTAGATTTAATTTGGCCATTATTATAGCTGTAGAACAATATTAAAACAGAATCCTATACTCTCCAGCGAATAAATATATGGTTTAGGAAAATATTTTGATGGGAATCAAGTAGATTTGGTGGTTTTGTACAGATGCTTTACAATGATGTGGACATGTAAATCAGTAAGCTGGAACACATGCGGACTTCCTGTCTTATTAAACGCCTTGGTCAGCAATAAATATACAGATTTCCAAGTAGTCACACCTATGACTGACATTTGTACATCAGATAACTTTAGATAAGGCTTGAAGTGTTGGTGACGTGAATACTGACACCTGGAATCAGTAAATGTCCTTTGTGTCTTGATCTTTACTGCCATGTTGTGATAATGCTAATTATGCGTTTCTTAATGTTTATTTCTAGTGTTTCGACAATGATAGTTAATCACACAGTCTTCCTCTTCTCACTCTCTTGCAAAATGGATTCATGAATGTAAGTCTTCAATAGACCTATCTTATGAATAGTATGCAATTCCAATCAGTTGGGTTTCAAACAAGTTGTTTTCCCTTATGAAGTTTCCTACCATTCCTCTGTGGATTGCTTTACTATCCGATATCGCTTAGAATAACTATGCGTTTGATTTCTGAAGTGTTTGTAAGATATTGTAATGTCCTCTGATTTTTTTTTTTTTTTTAAGAAAAAAAATTGTAAGTTGTTAAGGGAACTGGTATTTGTTTCATTTTCTGATGCATTTGGTTTATGGACAGGTGCTTTGAAGACTTATAGGACATAATTGCAGGATCTCTTAATTTTGTAATAATTTTGACAGCCAAAATTCTTGAGGGACATGTACCTTTCAGACTGATTAAAACACTAATAGACAGTCAAAAAATAATTATTTTAAGATTAATCATGTTATTAATGATTTTATTGTTGTCTGTCTTTGGGTGCACACGACTGTAAAACTTCCCTAAGTCATTTCTGAGTGTCAGATACAAATATTGATCAAGTCCTATCTGGATTCCAAGAATGATTTATTTTAGAGACCGACTGAAAAGAAGAAAAAATATGACTATATGGATAAAATAGATATATATAAATATACAACTTAATTTCATTTTAGACCCTGATTTGAAAAGAAAGTTCCTTTTTTATTTAAAACAAAGTTTACTTTTTATCTTTGACATGCATGCTGATTTATTGTATTTTTCTTAAAGTTTTTTTGAGCTGTTTATAGTTATACTGTAAATGTCAGTCATGGAAACAACAAAATCAAGAATACAGTGCGAGTAGATTTAGGCTTATTGCGATACGGGCCGAAGGGTTTGAGGCAGTGGTTGAGGCTAACATTTGATGTACTTGCCTACCTGGTATGTCTTGTACACGCGGTAATTTTTTTTCTTTCATAAAATAAATGACAAAATGCCTTTTATTTTGTGTTTACTTTCAATTTTTGCTCATTTGTTTTGCGTGGACATACCTTGTTTTGCAGTTTTGTCAGTATCTTACCATAAAAACTTATTTTAATTATTCATAGCTCATCATTTGATTAGTTATAAAATAGAACAGAACAATATGAAACTACATGGATCATCTGATATTTGGTTAAACTATTCGAATCTTTTTCTGTCAGAAGTGTCACTGAACTACCACCTCTGACCACTAGATGGTAGCAGCGTCTCATTTCTGCTAGAGTTGGTTATGTCTGGTATGATTACCAGTTTTACTGTAATGTTACAAATGATTATAACAGTAGTTTTATAATAATCCTCCGAAAATAACTACAGTGTTAGAGTTCTCTGTCCTTGGGTGTTATATAACCCCAAATGGATGTCACATCCATTTCCGTTACTGTAAGTAGGTTTCACCAGCTCATGATAAATACTAGGGAGTAACATAAGTGATACTGGCCCAATCATTTATTCAGTTACACATGTATACTGCACATCCTTAGGGTTTATAGTCACACTTTCTGAGGAGAGAACATGTGACCTTGTTGCTGCAATGTTTAGAACATGGTATCCACTAACACAATACTGCAGAGACCAAGATGGATCAATGCTTTGAGTCTTGTGACAGCTACTCACATCTGCCTCAAAAAGCCATTTTTCATCCTGAATGTGCTTTAACCAGTTTTTATATTGGTCCCAGGGCAAAATAGTCACACTACAGCAAGTTTCCTTCCAGACAAGCAGAACATACATGTCTCATATATGCAAATACTTTCACTGAGGTGAATTGAGGTGCCCCACAAAAATGGAGGGATACTTTTAATATGTTACTAAGTTTTATGAATGAATAAATAAATTACTTGGCTCACATATTAAGCTGATCAAGACTACATTACATGATTGAAGTCTCCCAGGAAACTTATCAAACCTATCCACAAAAGTAGTAGGATTGCATAGTAATAACAAAAATAATGTGTGATAATGATCAGCTGAATGTACATTTTCTTCACATGTTCGTATTTATTGTGATGTCTGCAGAATTTCCTAAATAGTAATAAAAAAGGCTTTCGGGTCGTTATTTTAGTGAGACAGACCCTCTCCTCCTCCTCGCACGTGGACGAGCGCGACCGGAACCCAGATGCGATCTCACCACCGCGCGCGCCCTTTCTCCTGCTGCTGCGCGCGCGTTCACGCCTGCTGCTCGCCCGCTCTCACGGCTCACGCGAGCTGAGAAATCAGAATACTCCAACCATCTACACTGAGAGATGACCTGAGGAACAACCGAGAAACCATCGCGGCTCAACGGACGACTGTCCAGCACCAAAACCTCGCGGCATTTCTCTTTCTGTGGAAGCGAAAGGAGCGGGACGAACAACAGTTTTCGCGTTAAATACGCCAGAGTTTGTGCATTTTCGCTGTACGCTGTGATATTTCCCACAAGAAGTTTTAAAAACAAGTTTGGACCGGATTCTGTTTGGAGTTGGACGTTATTTTGTTCACATCCCGCCTGGTGCGCGAGCGCTTGTGAGGCGCAATCTACTGAAGACAAGAAAACATGGATTTATTCCTTATTTTAACGGTAAAACTTTGATAAACAGTTCGAAATTGCGTGTAACAGCTGCTTTGCAATCTTGTCCAGCATTTCTTGTTTAGGAAAATATCTATTGTAGTCCTGAGAGACACTTTTTTTTGTTTTGTTGTTGTTGCTGTGACAGGATGCGTTTACAGAGCCAAATATGTCAGTCCATGATGAAGAAGAGGAAACTCATCTGATTCTCTGAGGGGAAAACACATCTAAATCATATTCTAACATATTACTGTACGTTATTTCTTCGAGTTCTCCTTTAATTTAGCTTGATAATTGGATTATTTCGTTATACAAAGTCCTGTATAGCTGTATAGTGGAGAGCACTCTGCTGGATTTAATTCGTATAAAAAAGTTGTTAAGCGTATATCATTGCTAAGAGCATTCTCACGCAATTGACCTTAGGCTGTTTAGTGCCCTTTGGACTGCAGAGGAACTGGGAAAATTTCACGTCAGCTTTATCTTGGTACGTGCGCCAGGCTGCCAGATATATAGTTTTTATTTTTGCCAATATTCTGCATTGTTCCTGTCAATATGGAGGAGTGGAGACAGTGCGGTCGCTGGTTGATAGACTGTAAGGTTTTGCCCCCCAACCATCGGGTCGTTTGGCCCTCAGCGGTGGTGTTCGACCTGGCCCAGGCGCTCAGAGATGGGGTGCTCCTGTGCCAGATGCTGCACAATCTGTCTCCTGGATCCGTGGACCTAAAGCAGATCAACTTCAGGCCTCAGATGTCACAGGTAAGTTAATGCGCATGACTGTGTTTTTAATGGCTGTATTTTAATGCTTGTCTCATATGCAGGAATGATTGATGATAGTATTGACAGCCGGAGAATGTGCAGTGTTGTTCCCATAGGTTGCCACTCTTATTGCCACTCTTGATTCTTATCAACAGGGGTCGTTGTCGAGCATTAATGGCTGCGCAATAACAAATAGAACTGTCATAATCGATTAATCGAAAGTATTATCTGAACTAAACCTTTTGATGTTTTATAGTGTCATTCATTGTTTAAAATCCTATTCTAGAACGTTTAAGTATAATGTTAGGGTCTCACAATCATCAAGCAGTTGAATGCAAAGCACACAGGTGTCTTTTAAACTTTCCATAGGTAATAGCACATACGTATTTATAGCTGAACATCCTTGTATCACTGTGCATACAGCATTGAGTATGTATAAGCCTGATCATTTGAAAGTAAGTATCTGAGGCTGTGCAGGGTTTAAAGGTGAATATTAAGGAAGGGCCAAGGCTCTTATCTCTGTAAACATAAACCAGGAAAAGCAGCAAGTTCTTCGTGGGTTTCAGGAATGTGACTCTCAGCCAGTGCTCTTTGTGAAGGAATGTGTGGCAAAGGCAGTTCCTACCCAAAAATATGACGTGGCTGAGAAGCATGATGTAGCCATTTGTAAGTGTTGACTGTTTTGAGAGGTTTTAAACACACGTCTCACTGTGTCTCCCACCCCTTCAGCATGTCTTATCAGTGTTGAATTGGGTTTCTGTCCAGAAATAATAATAATAATAATAATAATAATGATAATAATAATAATAATTATTATTAATAAATTTTTTAAATAAAATATTAAATATTACTATTGTAATATTCTCAAACTCATTTTAATAGACTCAAACTCAGAGATGAGTTTGCATGGAGTAGCATTTACTGTGAGTTTCTCTGAGACACTGAAAACACCAATTTTTAAAAAGTTGAACTTTTATTGTGCGAGATGCTGTAAAAGACACAAGTGCAATAGACAAATACATCCATCTAGCATGTGTTTACATAGAAAAATAATGTGAAAAGTAGTGCAGTGAAGTGTAAAAATGCGTTCTGTGTGAAAAGCCCCTAAGCCATATAATGATTTTGGTTTTATTTTGGTTATTTGTGCAGCCCAGTGAATGTTTAAAATGGTGATTTAAACCGTGATCGGTTACAGGACTCCTATACACTCATCCCTTACAGATTCATATCAGTTTTGATCTAAAATCTTCATTGATTTAAGAAAGTGATGCACACAACCCCTTTACAAATGCAAATCTATCTTTTCACAGCAAACCTGGACCAGAAATATGCTCAGCAAAAACATAAAGAGTTTTATGGCCTTCTTTCACTGACCATGATGTGATTTATACCTGTACAGATGTTGTCATATCTGACTGTATAGATGTTTCACCCAGTGCTTGTAGGCTTTTGTTTTAGCTGTTATTTCTGAGACAGTCATAGGGACCTTAGATCCTCCCACAACAGTAGCTTCCTCAGCATGGAAGGGTTTTGTGTGGTATTATGTTGTGACAAATTGGTTGAAAGGGAGATCTGGCAGCACAATGGAAGCTGTGATTTATATGCAGCAAAGGTCACTGTGTGCTTTGATACACAGTGGTTGTTAATTTACTACCTCCATTAAATCAGGATGAAGTGATTATGTGGGCTGTTTGTGGTGGATGTTCATCGATACCGAAGCTTCTGCTGTTCTGCATGCTTCACATGTTCCTCGTTTTAGTGCAGTAGGCCTTTTTAATAATCCCATTCTTGTGATTGGCTGTCACTTATAAACACCTATTATACCGTTAAAGACTGGAAGGACAGCCTCAGGTGTTAGTTAACAGACGAGTGTTTCCGAAAAGAATTTTAGTGAGCAAACACTTAGGCATTGTCCATGCCCACATGCCAGTACTGTTGGTATCAGCCACACAGAGAGATGCTTTTCCTCTCTCTCAGATAATAATTGCTTACATCACATGCCCATGAATGTTTTATTTGTCTGTGGAGTACAAGGGATTTGCTCCCTTTTCAGTGGAATGAGTACTCTTCAAATCAGTGCTTGTGTATTTCGAGAAGATGAATTCTGGTGTCTGACTGAAAGGTTGTTTTAATAGATTAGCTCACCTAAAAATGAAAATGTTGCCATTATTTATTGGCATTGTTGTTCCAAACATGTATGCTGCTTTTTTTGTAGGAAACACAAATGTTGTCATAAAAATAGTCCATATTACTATTGCTAAATGTGCTAAATTTCATGCTGAAGCTATATGTGAGAACAAGCTGTTGTGTGAGAGACATACCCAAGTCTAACATCTAACTCAAAATCCAACTTCCAAAATAGCATGTCACCTTCCCTTATTACACACCCGTTACCCGTTTTGCCATTAGTGATTTCAATGACAGCGCGTAATCACCATAAACAGTCACTGTTTGGAAAGAGCTCTGTAAAGATTCTTCAGAATGTTCTTTTTTGAATCTGGTTTTGAATGACGTGAAGATGAGTAAATAATGACCCAATTTTTATTTTTGGCTAAACTATCCCTTTAAAAATGAATGTAAAGTATTTATATAGGAACATTGCTTACTGGTATTATTACTTACTGGATTGTGTATTTCATTCTGTGTATTTCACTATTTAGGCTGTATTTATTTATTAATTTTTAATAATACTATAATGTTAAATAATTTTGCCTTTTGATAAAGTGTAGCCATGAACACAATACGTTGAGGTGGATCTGAGGTCTCAGGAGGAGGGGCAGTTCTTTTCCTCTGGCTCTGTCTGACAGACGTAGCTTGGTGGGTTTTGAATTTTTGAAGTCTGCATTGTTTTTATATTTTCCCCCACTTTTATTTACCTCAGGTGGTTGGTTGCAACTAATACCTTAGAGGTGATTCAGGCGCCAGTAGTAAGAATATGTGTGTGTACTTGCATGAAATACCTGTGTGTTTAGTTTCCATCACCTCCGGCTCGGCCCGGGGACTGTCTTGGGACTTCAGTCTTAACAGTGAGATCTGGCCCCTCTCTCTTCAGGGCTTTGGGGAATTTGCAATGTCTGTTGTTTCCTCTTAGAAAATGCAGCCTGTCGTTCAGCACGTACACAGGGCAGAGAGAAAGAGAGACGAGTCATTGCTCACTGTAGCACTTTTATGCATTTTATTGTACTCCCCATTTGCCTTTAACATTTAACTATTCATTTTAGCTCTGTTTTTAGATATGTTCATTCTCATAACTCTTGTATTTCTGCAGCAAGGATAATGTATTTCATCTTTGAGATTTCGCTCTGATTTATTACACAAGACCTCACACCATGACCGTACATGTTTTAGGAAACCAGACTTCACTGTATGTTTCAGCTTGATAGATTGATCTCATGTCATCCGAGCTCATGAGGGGATATTAATGCAATTCACGGTAGCTCTGCTAGGCCATATTGCTGTTGTTTATGAAAGAGCAGCATGACGATTAAATAAACTAGCATGAAACATCATCACAATAATAATGCATTCATAATAGAGAATATGGTCTTTGATGATTAAACTCTGAGACAAAAGTGAATGGAGATGTGGCATAATGGCAGGGGAAGCAACTGGAGGGTTTGGAGG